AGTGAATGCACTGGTATAACAGAAAGTAAAACTGAGTGAAAATTAAATGCATCTCGATGTCAATCCTGGAACACAGAGTAGGAAGTTAAATCTCACAAGCAGTTGATAAAGAAAAGTTTTATAGAGCTTTCCTTTGTGTAGAGTAGAGATGGGATAAAATTCTCACTCTCACAGCTAGCCTATTTATACTAAGTCCTTGGCAACCATATCCATGCTTGTTGCCATGGTCCTTTCGGGTTTGTGTCTACAGTACGGATGTCGTCATCTGGCAATTGCTCCTGGTAACCGCTTCTAGGTCATTTATACCCGTCTAGTGTTCGAGTCTGTTGTAGAGTTGCTATTGTACAATGTCAAACCAAGATCGCTGAGAAACTGAAGTTGGAGTCGTTGGGTTGGAACTTGGGCAGTTGGACCTTGAGTCCAATTGTTTGGGACTTAGCGGCATTTTGATGTTTGAACTTGTGCTGCCGAATATTCCTTCTGTCCGACTTTTTCCTTTATCACAAATGCACCAGCCATATTTACTCGGTTGATGACGGAGGTATTTAGACATTATCTTTATGATTTTGTGGAGATTTTCTTGGGCGATATTCTTGTTTTTAGCAAGAATATAGAGGAGCACCAAGTGTATTTGCGCAAGGTTCTTTTGTTATTCTATGAGAGCAAATTTTATGTGAAGAAGAGTAAATGTGAATTTGCAAAACTAGAGGTGGAATATCTAAGTTATATTGTAACCTCTAAGGGTGTCAAGACGAATCCAAAGAAGGTGGTTATGGTGGAGAATTGGCCTACACCAAGTATAGTGGTTGAGTTACATAATTTCTTTAGTATAGCTAGTTACTATTGACATTTTTAACATAAGTTTATGGAAGTGGCTATTCCTTTGACATGATTGTTATGCAAGAACATACCATTCAAGTGGAAGAAGCCACAAAATGAGAGTTTTATAGCATTGAAATGGTTGTTGAGCGAGGTTTTAATGCTTTGTATTACTAATCTATCAAAACTTTATGAAGTGACATACGATGTGAGTAGTTATGCACTGGGAGGAGTTCTTATGCAAGAGGGACAGTCTATTGCATATAAAAGTCAAATTTTGAATCCCACAAAGCAACATTATTCCACATATAACTAAGAGTTATTTTCTATTGTTCATGCCTTGTGGATGTGGTGGCACTATCTTTATGATGTAGTGCTCATGGTGTTGACAGATCACAAACCACTTATACATCTTTTCACATAAAAGTAATTGAATACTAGGCAAATTCATTGGATGAAACAAGTATTACTCTAAACTCTAAACCAAGTATTAGGTTTAGAGAGACTAAATTATGGATGAATAACTTTTTCCTATCAACTTTCATTTTGGACTTGACAACACTATATTTGGTTTGTTTGCTTTTAAAAAGCTTTCACTTGAAATCTATTTCAATTCTTTATGTCCTTTTTTTGTCAAGAATCAATTCACCATGCATTGTAGTGCATGGACAGAATGACTGAGTATGCAAAGCAGTTGTTTTCTTCACTCTACCCCTTTATAGTAAGTGTGCCTTCTCCAAATTCACTAAAAGTATCAATGCCACTTCCAAGACAAGTCTATAAGAATGGATTCCACTGATTACAAGTTTGGTTTTGCTTCTTTACTATAATCTAGTATCAACTTAACACCCAGAAACTCGACACAGTTAATCTTTGGTGAGATTTCGAGGAGAGCCACTCTCACTAGTAAATTGTACAGTGTTAAAAAAAGGAAAATAATAAAATGGTATATCCATCCAGCTTAACACCTAGAAACTCAACACAGTTAATCTTACACAGTAGAATAATATAATGTGCATACTATAACCACAAAGCTATGAACATTGGGAGATAATAAAATATAGTGTCAACACCCAAAAGAAGATTTAGAGTCCATTTGACTGTCCACGTGAACAACATCCAAGGTCCGCGAGGCCAGAGATTTGGAGGATCCACACATGGATCCTATACCTCTCCAACATGATCGCTTACATATATGGCAAATGTGGGAGCTTGGGCGATGCCGAGGCCACCTACACTGCAAATCCAGACCCCAATGTCTTCTCCTCCAACATCCTCCCGAGGCAGCACAATTCAAAGCTTGCACGGCCTTCTTCTTCCGGGGGATGCCACACAAGGACTTCACACATTGTCTTTTTGGAATTCGATGGGATTCCTCCCAGGGTGATTTGCAGGAGAGTTTCGAGAGAATGCCATGCTGGAGCATCTTCTCCTTCACTACTATTGTCTCCGGATTTGCCCCAACCACACGATGCGAGCACTCCATTTCATCCCCGAGAAGAGCACTGTGTCGTGGAACGCTGTGATAAATGGCCACTCACAAGTCGGCCAGCAACACACTGCCCAAGCCTTGTTCGATCACTCCCCCGATAGAAACGATCTGACGTGGGCTTTTTTGATAGCCGGACATGCCCAGAATGGGCATATGGAGCAGGCAGTAGTGATGTTTGCTTTGATGCCTTCGATAAATCTGATCTCTTGCAATATAATGCTTGTTAGTTTTGGTAGCAACGGTTTGTTATCACAAGCTCTAGATGTCTTTTCTAGAATGCCTTGTATAGATTCTTAATCTTGGGGTTCTTTGGTCTCTGCATATGCCCTTTAAAATGGGTATCTAGAATATGAGAAACACATGTTACAGAGCTTTTACACCGAAGATTCCAGTGCTTGGAACACACTTATAGGCGCGTAATCACAAAAGGAAGACTTAGTCTTGGCATCATTTGTCTTTAGGAATACTCCCCACAGAAATCTCTGCTCGTGGAATGCTATTGTACAAGCTTATGCCTTAAGTGGGCATTTTGAGACCGCGAACCTTCTCTTTGAAAGAATGCCGGGAAGAAGTGCCGTGGCTTACACCGACCTGTTACTAAGTTGTTGCACGAATGGAAAGCTCGTCGAATTGAAGCAGTTGTTTGATGAGATGCCTCATTCGAAGTGCATGCTCATGGCCTATGTTCAGGACAAGGCCAAACAAACCTTCAACAAGGCAGCCCAGCATGACGTGGTTACCATGGTCCTAACTTACTCTTACCACGGTAGGCTAGACGAGGCAGCCAATCTCTTCGAGAACTTGGTCGACCATGGTAGCATCTTCATCTAAAGCGTTTGCCACAGAATGGAGCTCCAGGGGCTGGTTCCCGACAAGGTAACTCTGATGGGCGTGTTCGTCGCTTGCAGCAACTTGGGCACGATGAAGCGAGTCGGGGATTACGTGATAAGCTCTGGGATTTAACGAGAGGAAGCAGGGGCCCGTAGACTCTTTGGATCGTTTCAGTGACGGCTCGACGATGAAGAACGCGCCCGGGATCGATCACAACAGGAAGACGGATATGACGATGAGCTCCTCGAGCTCAACAGTTCCAGGCTCGGCTCCAGCTTCGCATCACGCAGCTCATTTCCATCTCCAAAAGCGCAGCACGGGCAACATCACCACGGTGCCTCCGCTTCCGCTCCCTCAAGCCACACCAGGACGGGATCCAGCTCCACCTCGCCGCTGGCGCCGTGTCTCCACGAGCTCAAGTCACCATCGCAGTTCCTCAAGGTGGCGGAGCACGAGCTCCTCAAAAGTCACCGTCGGAGACGAGCACAAAGCCCAAAGCCCAAAGCCGGGGGTGGCGGAATAAGGTGCTGCTTCTCAAGAGCATCCAGGATATCAGGGCGCAACCATACTGGATGAGCTCGTGAGAAAGGCCCATGATGATCAACAGGTATGACTACCGTGCTGGGTTCTCGGGAGCGGCTACACAATCGACATCGATGGTGCGGTGGTGGACTTGGCCACTGGGAATGAGATCAAGTCGCTCCCTCGTATGTTCTCTAGCTCTCTTCGATTTGCTTTCTCTCTTGTCCCATCACTTTTCTTCTGGACTGCTTCTAGAAGCAAGGCGTTGGCTTTGGAATGTTTCCTCTGTCTTGAGGATTGACATAAAAAGAGTGTTTCTTTCATACTTCCAGTGAGTGAAAGGTGAGAGCTTGTTGGTTTTTTTTATGACTGACTCCATGCGATCAAAACAGAGTTTCATGATTTGTTCAGAACTTACAGCAGAACGGGTGAATATTCGTTTGTACTGTGACAAAGTAAAGTTTGAGTATCCACCATTCTAGCTGGCAGTCTATATCTACAATTCGTCCATGTTTTGTCCTTTCCTGGCTCTTTTGCCAACTCAGTTCTTTCCTTCTTCATGCTCATAAATGTCTGTAGCTTGTCCAGTAATTGTCCCTCCATAGCTTTTGTTTTTTTGCCATTCAGTTTTTCTTTTTTTTTTGCTTGACTGTGCTCATACATGTCCGCAGCTTCTCCCCCAATTTACAACTCTACTTTCGACAGTGTCTTTTCTCCCCATTTACATAGATGTCTAGCCTTCGTCCATGTTTCTTCTTGGCTCTTTTGCCACTTAGTTCTTTTCTTCTTTGTGCTCATAAATGTCCGCAGCTTATCTAGTGTTGGTGTTCTTCCCTCGTTGTCATGCCTGACATTCCCTGTCCATTTCTAGGCTTGATCTAAGTTTGACCACATTTGTCATGTGTTTCTCCAGCATTGTTTTTGTTCATGCTCACCCGGCATTCTTGTAAATTTGCCTTCAACCTCTCTTTCTTGTCTTGTGAAGCTGCTCCTCTTCAAAAGAAATCCTGTCTGTATTTTGGATTTCTTCTCTACATCTTTTACCTGTTATTGCTTCTTAGCCAACTGTAAAGGAAAGTGTAAGTATGAAAGAGAGCTTTCACAAACCTTGGTCAGGTGGGAAGCACACTTTTCCTCATGGCTTGTGCTCCAGATCTGCGATTAGCTTAGCAGCAGTGGAGGCAGAAGCAGCGAGGACTCACTGTTGTTGTCTGGGAAACTCTCGGTTCCGGTTCTTCTTGAACACTGCTTCGTGAAGCATGTAGAGGTCACACATAAGATTTATCTCAAAGTCGACTTCTAGCTGTGCTAGTTGGATTTGCAATTTGAACAGCAGTGAATTTAAAAATACTTTATATCCCTTCTTGATACCTTTTACAAACTTCAGGACTTTGTTCATTTTGCATCAATTGAGTCTCTAAACATAAGTGCCACAAGTAGGATCTCTTGGCATATTCTTCACCACTTCTCCTGCCACAACCACCATGATCTTGGATCGCACTCCAAGATCATCAATCTCCCTAAACCTCCTGCTGTAGACAAACTAGTTTTGTCATTCTAAAACATAGTGTTGGTTCCTTGTGAAATTTAAGAACGTCGATTTACTGAGGAGCGGGGTGGTCGAGGTTGAGCTCGTAAAACATGTCCGTGACTGTTCTCCGGCTTCCTCGAGTCGTGGGAGTTCTTATCAACGATTTTGTCCCGCTCAGAGGTGTTGAGTTTCTGGGCGTTAAGTTGCCACTTCCCGGTGGTTTGTGAGGCTTGGATGCGTTTCTCACAGGCTCGCTGTTGAATCTGTGTAGACGACGCGATTATGAGAAGGAAGCATCAGACAAACTAAACCTGGGATCAGCGAAAAACATTCTTATCCGCTCGTCTGGGACGAGCCAATGATCCTTCTCCTCGCGGATTTGGAGAATGCACAACCTTATGACGTACTGCAAGGAAAACGGGGTAAGAAGAAAGGAAAATGTAACATAATCCCACCTCTAGAACTCCAAGCTTTGCTGTTCTTACTCCAACATGATCTTCCAGGCCCAAGGGTTCACTGCTTTGGGTACTTGACGACGCACTGTCGTCGTCACCACCATCATCCCCATCCATGCATTGCAATGCATAGTGAACAATTCTTGTGACTTGAGGTCGATCCTGACAGGAAAATTACTAGCTTCACATCAAGTTCTTTCATTCTCACCCCTGCTGGAGATTCTAGAGGTTCGGGCGAATTATCTGGACACAAAGACCTGGGTCAGAGCTAAACCAAATCCAAGTTTTTGAAAAGCAAATAAGACCGGAAGTAGCATATACGTCAATGAGAAGGACGGCCTCTAACTCATGTTGTCCAAGCCCAAGAACATGCAAAGTGGAAGAACCTGTATCAACAGAAGAAAATTATTCAACCATAGCTGCTCAAGTTTATGATTACCAATAGCAGCCACATTTGAAAGAGGTATCGATATATGCTGGTGGTTATTCTCATTGTGATCTTCGTCCTGGATATGAAAATGCAGACAAAGCTCAGAACCACGAAAAAAAAAAACCAAGAAATTGACAAACCGAATTATCAATCTCAACGAGAAACTCGGCTGCTGCGTCCGGTAAAGGCACCAATTTTCTGAGTGTCAAAGTGCAGTGCGGTATTTTTTCTTGCCAGCGAGGGAGCATTAATCGAGTTTCATATTCATAAAGCTTCACTTGGAAACTCAGAACAGCATTCCCAATTTCAGCACCCCGAATCTGCGAGAAAAAACGTTGCTAGTGAGAAAATAGTGAGCATAAAAATAAAAAACAACCAAATAGCTGGCGTCCATCAAACGTGCTGGAGAAATTCCATCCTCTTCTGACTTTAGCAACGAGACAGCGTTCATAGCCATCGCCATGTACGGCAAGATGGCATCCAGTCTGCAGCTCCACAATTTTAAGCAAAAGAACAGTCTCAAAAGGCAATACCTTGTGAGAAAACCTTGTAGCCTGTTCTCTGCCTCGGATGGAGAGGTTTTGACGACGTCCTGGAAGATTGGGTCACAGCAATTTTCTTGTAGAGAAAAAACACACCTCATTATAAACTTGACATTCAAGTTCTTTTTGGAATCTCACAATGTCATTGATCACACGCAATATCATGTCCAAAGCGCCCTGCATGAATCAGAAAAACATCTGGAAACAGTGAAAGAGTATTAAACACTGACCTGTAGAACCGTGTTTCCATGGAGCACGTATTGCACACACATATCCACGGGAAGGCCGAGAACCTGCGTCACAAAAACCAACTTAAATCAGATGGGTTTCTCCAAAAAACTGCTAGCTTGCTAGTGTAGCTTGCTAAACGTACCTGAAGTCTGGATTCCAGCTCCTTTTGCAAGAGCTCAATCTGTAGGGAATAAACTTGTCATTGATTGATGAAAATGAAAAGGAAACACGAACCCGATGCTGCCCACTGAATCTGGAATGCAGCCGCGTGAAGAGTGACGTGACGGAGCGCTGCGCGAGCGCCTCGAATGTCTTACGAAGGAGAACCGTCCCGGCATAGAGGGCTGCGGCATCCATCCCTGCCAAAGAACAAAAAGAATTAAGCAAAAACCCTTCTACCTATAGCGTACCTTTTATTATTTCTTCAAAACGTTCGCCAGCATCACGTAAGGCAAGTGCTTCCCCAGACTTTCGGAGTGATTCGTCTCCAAAACATTCTCCACTCCCTCGACTCCGGAGATAATGCCATCCGAGTGTGTGATGCAAGCTCCAACGAAGGATGTCCAGCCGATAGCTCCAGGCCTGAGAGGCATCGAATTCAGCAACTCGTGAGCCTCCGTTAGCTTCCCAACTCTTCCCAGGATGTCAGCCACACAGCAGTAGTGCTCCCTTACGTGCTCGACACCGTGCTGGTCCGGCATAGCTCTAAAGTGGTGGAGACTGTCCTCCAAAAGACCACCATGGCTACAAGCTCCGAGAACGCTCGTGAACGTTGCCTCGTCGGGCACGGCACCCTCCACGATCATGAGTCGAAAAATTTCGCTGGCTTCCTCGACGTGACCATTCTGTCCGTAGCATCCGATCATGGCGTTGTAGCAAGCCACTGTGCAGTGAGGCATTGTGTCGAGCATTTTCCGCGCTTGCTCAACCTTTCCATCTCGGCCGAGAGCTGTTATCATCAGGATCCACGACACGGCATTTCTCTCCGGCATCCTGTCGAAGACGAACTTCGCAGCCTTGGTGTGCCTGTTTTGTGCGTAGAGGCAAACCATCGCAGTCCATGCGACTAAGTCCTGCCTTGGCATGTCTCGGAACGTCTCTTGAGCTCTCTCGATGTTGCCATTGGAAGCGTAGGCCTGGAGCATTGTGGTCCAGGAAACGTCGTCTCTCTCTACCATCCGGTTGAAAATCCTCTCGGCTTCTTCGATATACCCCTTCTGGGCATACGCTTGCACCATGGTGGTCGACGAGACGAGGTTGCGGCAAGGCATGGAGTCGAAAACCAGCCGAGATTCTTCCATCAGTCCTTGTTGAGAGTACGCCAGAATCATGACGTTGTAGGACGAGATATCTCTCTCGGGCATCTCCTCAAACAGCTTCTTCGCTTGAGAGACCTGTCCTCTCTGGGAATAAGCCGTGATCATAGCGTTCGTAGCGACGATATTTCGGTCTGAAAGCTGGGAGAACATATTTTCCGCTTGCAAAAGCTCTCCATTCTCGGCGTAAGCTTGAACCATTGCCGTCCACGAGACCACGTCCCACTCGGGCATTTGATCGAACATAAGTTTGGCTTGGTCCAGATGCCCACTCTGGGCATAAGCTCGGAAGATCGTCGTCCAGGAGACTACGTTCCTGTGTGGCATTCTGTCAAAGAGCTTCCGGGCCTCTCCCAGCTCGTCGCTCCACACGAAAGCCGCCAGCATGATGTTCCAAGAGAAGATGTTGGGCTCCGGGATCCGAGAGAAGACGGCCATTGCTTCGTGGAGCTTGCCGCAGCTCGAGTACATGTGGACGAGCAGGTTGGAGACGAAAGTGTTGTGTCTGTGCTGGCTGCTGAGGATTGCAAGGTGGATTTTCCGGCCTTGTTTCAAGTCCTTCGTACTGGCGCACTGTTTAAGATCTCGGCTGAATTGCTCTACGGACGCCAAGTTGACCACCATGCCGCTCGCGAGTGTGTGTGTGAACGAAAAGGCCGGATGCTTTTCTAGAACGCCTGTGAAAAAATTTACTTTAAAGTATCAGGAGTGGAGAGAAAGAGGGGAGAAAATCTTTCTACTCAGCTGCTTCATGCCCGTGCGACGCTTTCTCGTTAGCTGTCATTGACCTGTGACTAGGACCATGGATGTATTTCCCTGGAAGTAAGAAACAATGGAAAAGTAATCCCACATGAGAGAGTCACGAGTATTTAAACTCAAAGTAGCTTACCAATGCCTTGAGTCGAGCAGAGCTAGAGTGAAAATGAGCGAGCATCGAATTCCAGTCGCTGCTGACAAGAAAATCTCTCCTCCAATTTCTGCCGGGGAGCAAAAAGGCTGCAAAGGATTGAAGAGAACGGATCTGATGCTTCGCTTCGCTGCGTTTGTGTGTTGCACTGTCACCATGGTCGTTCTCATCACGGATAAGCAGACTAGTGCCATTCAGGTCCCGGGCTTCAATAACTTGACGATCACCAAGACGGTCAGCTTCGACTTGGCCAAGGCGTTTGTGTAAGTTTTTCACGGTTTTCTCCTCTCTTTCTTTCTCAAGTCTTCACGTTCGTCTCATGTTTCGTTCGCTTATCGACTGTGCTTACTCGCTGGTTTCTTTTCAGATATCTCGTCTCTGCGGCAGGAATCGGCGCTGGTTACACGCTCCTTGTGTTGGTCTTGTCGATCATATCTGCAGAGCGCTCCAAGGCTATAGCATGGTTCATCTTCGTGTTCGATCAGGTCACACCTGTTGAAAGAATTTCAATCAGTTTGGGTGTTGAAGCGTTTTCTTGTCTGCAGCTCATAACTTACGTTCTCCTAGCAGCCGCTGCGGCATCAACGGAAGTTGCGTATATGGGGGCTCACGCACCACCAGAGGCATCCTGGCTCAAAGTCTGTTCCCTCTTCGGACGGTTTTGTCACCAGCTCGGAGCTTCGCTGGTTACTTCGCTCATTTCGACGGTGTTGTTCGCATTCTCAGCGGCGATTTCTGCGTATTACCTCTTCAGCAACACAAACGTACGACCTGCTTACAGCAAAGGGTAGAATGTAAGCCTCGATTGAAAGAGCTATCAAACTAAAGGAAAAACTTAAAGAGTTGTTCACCTCTGTTCTTTGTGCGTGGTGGAGCCCGAAGAGTGCTTGTGAGTTGTGACAGCGTTTATACGCGCTGGGCCGAGAGAGCTCCATTTTCCACTGAGTGAACCACGGCCATCATAGCGGCCGAAATGGCGGGGTGACAGAAGCTTGCGTCACTGCAAAGTAGATGAGCGTGGAAAACTTGGAACTGTTCACGTGTTTCACCACCAGAAAATCTCTAGCACGAAAAGCAACTTGGCGAGAAAGAAAAACAGGCCCAAAGTAAGAAATATTCAATTTAGTAAGCTCACTAGGCTCTGTTCGATACTTTTGCCGATATCCACTCTACCAGAGCCTTGTTCACCTCTCCCGGGGCTTCGTCGTGTGGACAATGCCCGGCTTCCAAAGTCACAACCGTAGTATCTTTGTAGAAGGCTCTGATCTTCTCTGCTTTTCCAGGACCAACCCAGGGATCCAACACTCCCCATAAAAGTAGAAGTGGACACGAGAGATTGGATAGTAGCGAGTCCATGGTCAGCGTCGAGGGCCTGAGCATAAAGCTCGACATCATCCTGAAACTCGAGTCATTTAACACTCACGAGAAGACTATGTGCATACCTGTAGTAGACTTCAGCTGCGTTGGGGTCCTTTGTTGGTAAAACGATCGACTCCACAAGATAGTCATCCACGTTCTCGTTGTCCTTGTACACCTGGTAGCAAGTTTTAGTACTCGGGATAGAAAAGAAAACCAGAATAACAGACGTTTTGTAGTACTGAGCGGATTCGAGAAGGCTGTTTGGCTTGCCAGAATGTCAGGAAAACTAACCATCGTCTTCCCCATTCTTGGATAGGATTGATTAGTCTCCTTAGTGCTGTTTCTTCCACAACAGGTTTCGCTTTCTTCTCTTTCAGTTCACTTTCAAACTGTCCTGATGAATTTAGAAGAACCACGCCAGAGACGAGTTCAGGATAAACTGAAGCTGTGTGAAGCACTGTAAATCCACCAATGCTGTATCAAAATGCCAAGAAAACTAAGATCCTAGGCATGCAGGAAAACGAAAGAAGAAAGTAGTAGGACTTACCTGTTTCCCACAAGCACCACAGGCTCTTGGACAACTTCCCGGGCAAAAGCGGCTACTTGTTCTCTCCACAGAAATGGATCATACTCAACAAGAGCTTTGTCACTCAGTCCAAATCCCAGCAAGTCCATTGCATACACTTTGAAATACTTTGCCAGCTCTGGAATGTTGTACCTGCGAGAGTACAAAACTCACAAATGCCATGGCAAAAATCTATATTTCCGAAGCTTACCTCCAGTGAAAAGCTGACGCTCCAAAACCGTGCACCAGCAGAACAGGAGCTCCTTGGCCCTCGACAACGTAATGAATTCGGTGTGTTTTCCATTTCCAGAAGTTGTATCCTTCCTTTTTGAAAGGCAGCCTCTCGAGGCCTGTGAGAAAATAAACACCGTGCTCAATGCTGGAGAGCAAATCTTCTTACCTCTATAATTTGGAGCCATTGTATCGGCGTAAGCAGCCCTACACAGCAGTAATCCGGCGGCTACCAAGGGTAAATCGATGAAAATCCTCCTCGTGATACCTCGTAACAATGGTCGATCAATCGAGCTCCTCCAGCGAGCGCCTTGCAGCAAATTCCCACCTGGTCTGATCACGCGAGCAGCAGCAGGAGGCGGAGAAGAGAGCGCCATCGACCGCTCCTCCACATTCCCTAGCAACAACGTGTGGAGAGGAAGAACTAGGGCTTTGCGCTAACCTGGTTTTAGGGCTAATTCAAAAACTTTGGCGCCATTACAAACGTCAAACGTCATGGGTTCGAATCTCGTCTCGTGGAAAACAAGCATCTTCCTGTGTGTCGTCATTCGCGCCACGAATAGGTTGCGAGAATCGTTGACATGTAGCTTTAAGTTACAGTCCTCGATTAGTATACAATCCCATGGACAAAACTTAGAAAATTGGGAGACCCATTTGCTCGATTGCTACTCACCATTCTTGAGGTCACACTTGTTCCACCAAAATTTCCCAATCGAATGGTTGTTAACTATAACAACACCGCCACACTATGGTCAATTCAACCATGCTAGCATTCACTAAAACAACATGCGCTAGGCCCACGGTCACGATTCGCTTGATCCACATTTGCACGGCTGGGATCGTCCAGAGCGGGATTGCGCGTCATCTGGTACCACGAAATGGGCACCAGATGGACGGTCGCGATGCATTCCAGGCTGTGCATATATACACGTTATTAAGCTCTTTGGCGAGGCCCCCTTCACAGCCAGAGGAATCGCTCAGGGGATAAGGAAGTTTAGGGCTCTTGGTTTGTCGTTGCAAAGGCATGCATTGCCGCTGCGATATTTCGAGCGATTGACCGCCCGTCTAGCGATTTCTGGGAGCTGCCGATGGCTTTGGAGGCTGTTTTTAGCAATGCTGGAGGGCGCATCGGGAGCACGGCGCATGTAAGGTTTCCTGGAGCTGGGATTTCTCATGGATGTGGAAATTTCTTTCTAGGGGGATTTGCAGCAGCTGAGCTCGAGCTCCAGTTCGTGTTTCACAGGGAGGAAATTGGCAGTAACAGGTGCGTGAAACACGTTTTCGACAGCGACAGTGCTCATTCGTTCTAGCTTTGCATGTTTGCAGGCGCTCAATGTGGTACCTCCTCCAGTACGCAAGAGTGCTCAAGAAATGCTGGTTCCTCTAAGATACGCTGCTCGTCAAATGGTCCCCCCTCAGCTTGGCCAGGCAGAGCAATGGTGGATGGAGCTAGAAAAAAATCCTGGGATGGACCAAAGCCCATTTCACTTCTTGGATCCACGGGCTCCATCGGCACACAGGTTAGAATTGTTTTTCTTCGTTTCCTATGCAAGCGATGAGGATGCTAACGTCGTGTTGTGCCAGACACTTGACATCGTCTCGGAAAATCCTGACAGATTCAAAGTTGTTGGGCTGGCTGCTGGCTCAAACGTTACACTTCTTGCTGATCAGGTAAACTACGAATTGGTCGTATCTGTTTTATACGAGCTTACACTGCCAATCAACAGGTCAGGAGATTCAAACCAAGCATGGTTGGGATTCGAGACGCATCGCTAATCGACGAATTGAAAGAAGCCATTGCTGATCTTGACGTAAAACCAGAGATTGTCGTTGGGGACGAAGGAACTGTACAGGTACTTTGATTTTCTCAGTTTGGCTTTTGTCTTATGTTTTTCTCTTGTGTTTGCTTTTGGTTGCTCTTCAGATAGCGTGTCATCCAGAGGCAGTAGAAGTTGTGACAGGAATCGTTGGCTGTGCTGGCCTCAAGGTAAGCGTACACGAAAGTTTGTTCTTCAAGCACTTAGACATGTACAATATTCTTTTCAGCCTACAGTAGCGGCAATAGCAGCTGGAAAGGATATTGCTCTAGCCAACAAGGAAACTCTCATAGCCGGCGGGCCATATGTTCTACCTCTTGCAAAGAAACACGGAATCAACATCCTACCTGCGGACTCGGAACATTCCGCAATTTTCCAGGTGATGTATTTTCTTTCCTCCAACAGTGTTTGTTTCTAACATTCAACCATGCGTATTTCAGTGCATTCAGGGGCTTCCAGAGGGCGGAATGCGTAGGATTGTTCTCACAGCATCTGGTGGAGCGTTCAGGTAACTAAAATTGACTGACCAGTCGTTATACTTCACCAATCCAAACTGAACTTCTCTTTAAAAATCAGGGACTGGCCAGTGGAAAGGCTCAAGGACGTCAAACCAGCAGATGCGCTGAAGCATCCAAACTGGAGTATGGGAAAGAAAATTACTGTGGATTCGGCAACCTTGATGAACAAGGTAAAAAAACATTTTTATACTTGTCTGCTGAACTAACATCTTCTGCTGGCAGGGACTCGAGGTCATTGAAGCTCACTATTTGTTTGGAGCTGACTATGATGACATTGACATTGTTATCCATCCCCAATCGATTATACACTCCATGATCGAGACACAGGTAATATGAGTTGAATGCTTCAACACACAACTAACACAGCTAGTCAAATACAGGATTCCTCCATCCTGGCGCAATTGGGGTGGCCTGACATGCGACTACCTATTCTTTACACACTCTCTTGGCCGGATAGAGTTCCATGCTCAGAAATCACCTGGCCAAGGCTTGACTTTGTCAAGTAAGCTTCACATTTTATCACCTTGTCGGTTGGAAACATTTATTCACACCGGAGCTTTGAAACAGGACTGGATCGCTAACGTTCAAAGCCCCCGACCGAGCAAAGTATCCATCCATGGACATATCCTACGCAGCTGGAAGAATGGGAGGAACAATGACAGGAGTCATGAGCGCGGCCAACGAGAAAGCAGTGGAGCTCTTCCTAGACGAGAAGTAAGCAAAATAGTTAGTTTCCAAGGATTCTTTTCTCATGGCTGTGTTTCCAGGATTGGTTATTTCGACATCATCAGATTGATCGAGAAGACTTGCGAAACGCACAAGCGAGATTTTGTCAAGGAGCCAAGCCTGGATGATATCCTCACATCCGACCGATGGGCCCGGATTTACGCTGCGGAAGTCGCGGCACAGGCCCCTCCGCAACCTGTACCGGTATGAGAATATATATACACTTTCGGTTTTTTTCAACTAAAAGCTCTTGGTTCTCGATCGAGTTCACTCGTAAAACGTTTCTTCCAGCTTCGTAGTCAGGGACGGGGTCCAAGAATGTACGCTGGAGGTCTCAAAGTCAGTGGATCTTTCTCGTTATCACGCGAGGAAGAATGGTGGTAGTCCGTGGTGCTGACAACCGAGTCGTAACCATAGCAGCAGCAGGATGATCGCAATGAGCGTGCACTTCCGGGAGCTCCTCTGGTGCTGCTTGGCACAGTGGCTGCGAGTTCCCTGTCCACGTAGTTGGCCGCCATGCGATCATATCTCAATGAGCTTCCACCAGCACAGCCATGTCGAGGAAAATCTGGTGGAGTTCCAGCAAGTTCTTCTCGATTTCCTTTGCCTCTCCTGGATCTCCCGAATGGTTTCCAGCACCTCATACTGGATCGCCCTCTGGACGAACACCGGTCTCGACTCTCGATGGATATTGCATATTGCAATCAGTAAATGATTTGCCATTCTGTGCACTTCACTTTCTGGTTGCAATATGCCTCCAGTTCATCTTTCGTCTCTCGCAGCCGCTTACAACTACTATAGTAATTTTGTGTTTACATCTATGACTGATTATTCATCAGATACGATATAGACCACAGCTCCCAGGAGAACAACATTCGCATGCTTGAAGCAATGGCTTTTTTCACCGAATTTTGTCCAAATGGCATCTGGCCATACAAAGGTATGGCAATTAGGACGGCAGTGCAGCATTTTGCAGACCATGCCTTTGGCTGGTGTGATTTACCGTTTCTCTAGCCACTATAGATGCTTTGTGGATGAGAAGATGATGAAGGCTCACAAAACCAAGAAAGAGATTCTAGGATACCATATATGTTACACTGCTACTTTGGGAGGTATGTTTTTTGTGTTCTATTGCTTTCTATTTATTTAGCATTCAATTTTAGCCCACTTATGTGGTGTTAACCTCTAAAATAAACTTCAAATGAGTTTGTATTCAAAGTTCATCGCAATTATACACAGCACTATGTTATTTTATCATCACAAGCTGAATTCCATGTGGTGGAATGTGTGATGTATCATTTTGTGATCACAAAGTATTTCATTTGTAAGTTATATATTTTTTTACAACATTTATAATATTAATATTAAAATATAAAATGGATCATGGAGGGTAGGGACAAAACTTTAAACATCACTTGCATCAAGTGTAAGAGGTAGATCCTATCACTATAACAGTGGTGAAATGAGTTATGATTGTACACAAAGAAAGTTGAGTCTTTGCTATATACATTTCAGTTCTTTCAACTAAAAGCACTGGTTGCTTGCACTTCTCGATCGAGTTCACTCTTAAAACGTTCCTTGCAACTTCGTAGTCAGGGACGGGGTCCAAGAATGTACGCTGGAGGTCTCAAAGTCAGTGGATCTTTCTCGTTATCACACAAGGAAGAATGGTGGTAGTCCGTGGTGGTGGTGGTGGTGGTGGTGGTGGTGGTGGGAGGAGGATTACTACTACTACTACTACCACTCGGCTCCCTCTTGAGACCCCTATCCTCCATAAGCTTCTTGAGCTGGAGGAGCTCGTCCCACATCCCGGCTGCGACGTAGATCTTCCCAAGCATCAAGTAAGCTAGTGCATTCTTTGGTTCCATCTCGAAAACCCGATCCGCAGCTCTTCTTCCCAGCTCCACCTTCGAGTGCCTCTCACAGGCAGCCAGCAAGCTCATCCAAGCGCCACAACCGGGCGCAAACGGCATCGAGTTGATGAGCTCCTCGGCCTGTGCCACCTTTCCCGACCGCCCAAGAAGATCGATGACAAAGTGGTAGTGCTCGGCACCCGGCTGGATGTCACAGTCGTGGATCATGATCTGGAAGTAGAACACGGCCTCACGGAGAGAATTTGCGGCACTGCAAGACGAGAGAAGGCTGACGAAAGTGATCCGGTTGGGCTTCAATCCTCGTTGCGCCATCTCCCAGAAGAGTTCCAGCGCGAGCTCGAGCTTTCCATGGTGGCCGTAAGCCGCGATCATGGTGGTGACCAGCACCACGCTCCTCTTCCGCGAGAGCTCCCGGAAGATCGCCACCGCGTCGCCCAAGCTGCCGCACTTGGAATACATCGCGATCAAGGCCGACGCGACGATCACGTCCGTGTCGCAAGCTCTGGCGATGGCCTGCGTGTGGATCATCCGCCCCTCGCCCAGCGCCGCGGTTCCGATGGATCCACACGCCTCGAGCACCGCCGCGAAAGTGTTTCGATCCGGCCGGACGGGCGGAGCTCCTCGCCTCTCCGCGAGGATCATCTCCGCGTAGAGCCGCAGCGCCTCGCGGGGATGGCCGCGAGCAGTGTAGGCCGCGATGAGCGCGTTCCAAAGGAGAGCTTCGCGCTGCCTCGCCACCATCGCTCTCGCGAGATCCATCTCGTCGCAGCACGCATACATGTTGATGATCGCGGCAGCGAGCACTGGAGTGATCGATCGCATGCTCCTGCCCGCCACCGCCGCGTCGATCATCGCATGGACCTCCCTCCCCCGCGCGAAGTCCCGGCTCCGCGAGCACGCGTCCAGCGCGATTGTCATCGCCACCGCGTCGATCCTCACACCCTCGTCGCGCATCCTGGCGAAGAGCTCCAGCGCCGCGGCGTCGCGACCATTGTGCGCGAGCGCGCCCAGCATCGCCGTCCAGGAGATCAAGTTCCTCACCTCCATCGCGCGAAACACCGCGATGGATCGCTCCAGGCAGCCGCATTTCCCATACATGCTCACCAGCGCGGTGGCTACCATCACATTCCACTCAAGCTTGCTCGCGGAGATGGCGGCGTGGATCTTCTTCCCATCCTCGAGCGAGTTTAGCACCGAGCACGCATCCAGCGCCGCGACGAACGTCCCAGCGTCGGGCCTCACGCAGCTATGCCTCATCCGCGCGTAGAGATCCAGCGCGCTCTTGCCCAATCCATTCAGCGCATAGGCCGAGATCATCGAGTTCCAGCAGATCACATCCTTGGCCGGCATCTTGTCGAAGACCATCTTCGCATCGCCCATGCTACCACACTTGCCATACATGTTGACGATCGCGGTGGCCACCACGACGTTGGATTCCATCCCGCTCACGATGACGCTTGCGTGGATCATCCGCCCCTCGCGCAGCGCGCCCAGATTCGAGCACGCGTGGAGGAGGATCACGTAAGTCACTCGATCCGGGACGACAGTGGCGCCACTGTCCTTCATCCTCTGCGAGAGAACCAGCGCCTCGTTGGAATGCCCATTGTGGGCATACGCTGCGAGCATGATGTTCCACGAGAAGATGTTTGGATCCGGCGTGCGATCGAAGACCTTGCGCGCGTCGATCAAGCTGCCGCATTCGCCATACATCTGGATTAAGAGATTCCTCAGCCGCGTCTCGCGATCGTGGCCAGTCTTGAAGATCTGCGCGTGGACGCGCTTGCCCTCTGCCAGCGCTCGAGCGCGGCCACACCGGCGGAGGAGGATCGCGTAGGTGGTGGTGTCGGGATTGCGCAGCAGCTGCTCCAGGCCAATCTCTTCCTTGGAGATTCGCCCCTTGCGCTGGAGGAGCTCGCGTTTCTTGGTCATCTTGTTCCTGGATCGCCGGACCACTGTGTGGATTCTTCCATCGTCAGCGTCGCTGCTATGATACTGGAAGATCGAGGACGTCGCTGCGAGTGCTAGATTCCAGCAAGAATTCGCGGCCACCATGATCAACATCGTCGAGATAGAGAAGAGCTACTCTATCTCGATGCTTATAGAAGAAGAAGAAATTCCAACCTTTAGCTCACCATAGCTGCTAGTAACTCGAGCTCTACGTCTAGATCGCCGCTGGAGGTGTAGAGATTCGATAGCAGCAAGTGAGGTCTTTGATTCCTCTCGTCCAACTCCGCGACCATCGTGGCTACTCGCTCGCCGCGCTTGATATCTCCGTGGATCCGGCAAGCTCCCAGAAGCGTGTTCCAGGCCACCGCGTCGGGAAGAAACGGCATCGTTCTCACGAGCTCCTCCGCCTCTTCCAGATGCTTGGCTCGCCCGAGAACGTCCACCATGCAGCAGTAGTGCTCCACGCCGGGTTTCATCCCAAACGCCGACTCGATCGATCGAAAGAATTCTCTTCCCCGGCTCACGAGCCCAAGATGGCTGCAACCTGTGAGGATGGTGACGAAGGTGATACCATCCGGCTGGAGTCCCTGGAGAGCGATCTTCCGGAAGATCATAGTGGCCATCTCGAGCTCTCCATTGTGGACGTAGCTCGCCACCATTGCAGTCCAAACCATCACGTCCGGGTAGTGCTCGATTCTCTCGAACACGGCCAGTGCTCCGTCCAGGCGACCATTGTGGGAGTATGCCACCATCATTGCGATGCACGAAACCATGTCCTTCTCCAGGACTTTCTCGAAGAACAGCGTCTCGGCCTCTTCCAGGCGGCTGCTCCGGCCGTAAACTTCGATGATCACGGTGCAAGTGATGCGATTCATCATGGGAATCCGGTGAAAGGTGGCCAAGGTCTCGGAGAGATGCCCGTTCCGGGCATACGACCAGAGAAGAGCGTTCCACACCGCTACTGTTCTTGGGAAGATCCGTGAGAAAAGCTCCTGGGCTTGTTCCGGATGCCCGTTTTGCGCGTAAGTCACCGCCATCTGGATCATTGACACCGAGTCGCGATCGCCCATGCTCTCAAAAAGCGATTTTGCATCGTCGAATAGGCCGTTCTCCGAGAGCCCCTGGGCAATGCTGTTCCAGGAGACCGTGTTGTGCTGTGGCATTCTCTCGAAAAACTTCTTTCCTGCTGCCCCTGACTGGTGATCCATCCGAGCAAACGCAGCAGCCATTGTGTTCCACGAGAACACATCCCTTTGGAGCATCCTCGTATCGAAAAAAGCTTTAGCTCGATTCAGACTTCCATGCTTGGTGTACGCTGCTAGCATCTCGTTCCACGATATCACGTCCCAGCACGGAATCCTCGAGAACAAAGACTCCACATCCTCGATCCCCCCGGTCACTGCGGCTTTCGCGTGGATCAGCGCGTTCCAAATCACCACATCCCTCACTTTGGCCGCATCAAACAGCCTCTTGGCCTCCAAAAAACTCCCTTCTCGAGCAAACCCTCCGATCATCGCATTCCAGGCCACCAGGCTGTGCTGTGGAATCCTCGCCAGAAAGATCTTCGCTCGGGAAAAATCCCCTTCCTGGGCATTTGCCGACACCATCGTGTTCCAAGACACCACATTCCTGCCCGGCATCGCATGGAAGATCTTCCAAGCCTCCTCGAGCAGCCCTGCCGAGGCGTAGGATGCGATGAGAATGTTGAATGAGAAGACATTGGGATGCTCGATCGCATCAAACACCGCCCTGGCCTCCCCCAATCCCCCGCATTTGCCATACATGTCGATGACGAGATTGAGGAGGAAGACATCCTGGCCATGCTGCCGCTGGAGATCCAAGACGCGCTTGTGGATCCGCCGCCCCGCCGAGAGATCCCCGGAATTACCACACGATCGCAGTAGATTCGCAAGATGCGTGACCTGGAGAGCTCCACAACAAGAGGAAGAAGAAGCTCTCATGCACCAAGAGCCCTAGCATCTTAACGGTCCAGTTTAGGTTCGGGCAATCCGACGGCTCGTATAATTCCCGGAGCTAACTGGCTCGGGATAGGTCTGGGGGGGCTTTACTCTATTATTTTGTTGTGTTGTTTAGCGTCAGAGGAGACGCGCTGCTTGAGAGCGGCACCGCAAATCTCTGGGGCACGGCGCCACAGGGGCAGGGTGCCGGAGCGGCGGCGGCGAATCCAGGTTGGTAGCAGCTTCTAAGAGCGCGAATCGAAGCTGCGGAGGCCCGGGAGGGAGTCGCCATGGCCGATTTGTGGAACTTGTGAGAGCGGCCTGGATTTGGAGGGGCCGAGACCGCAGGGCAGCTTCTACGCATCGCAGGTGAGCGAAATTTCTGCTCTGGGGTCCAGAGATTAGGTCATGGTATTCATACGAGAGATCTTCTCTCTTTCTTTTGGCAGTGACGATTGAGAATGGCTGGCAACGAGTATGAAGGAGCCGCGTATGAGGATGGTGCCGAATCCCCTGGAGCCAGGCACGGGGATTATGGCGAGCCAGCACATTACGATGGCCAAGAGAATGGCGGCGATCGCTATCGTGAGGTAGAGTTTTTTAGTGCAGTGTGCAATCCATACAATTTTTCCTTTGTTCGTCCCTTAGTTTTCCTTCCGCCCAATCTTTCCTTCTCTTTCCATTCGTAGAGTTTGAATAGGCATTTTCATGTAGCCTAAGTTGTGGCTTTTCCTCTCTTTTTTTCTTCACTTATTCATTTTTTGTGTCTGTCTGTTTGTTGCTCTGTTCTCTGTGCGTAGATTCAGGGGCTTATACTCAGTTCTCCATGTAAGATCCACACAGGTTCACCATGCGGTTCATGGGAATTTATCTTGGCATGATGCATAAAGTGGATGTTTCTTCTTTTCTTCTTTCTATTAGCTGGACAGACTCACAACTGGTTTTCCTTACAGCGAAAGTCTCGTGAGCGGGAGAAGAGCAAAGAAAGAGATGACCGGAGGCACCGGGATGATAGAGACCGCAGGAATGACAGGGAGAGGGATTACGACAGGGATCGTGACCGTGAAAGAGACCGTGATGAACGCCACAAAACTCGAGATCGCGAAAGGTTTTTGTCTTCATATCAATAATTTTTGTATCTTGCATCTTTTCTGTTTCCTTCCTCAGAAGACGGAGTCGAGACCGAGACCGTGAAAGAGAGCGTCGTCACAGGCATCGGTCGCGCTCACGGTCGAAAGGAAGATCTCGAGACCGCTCAAAGTCCCGGTCCCGCTCCCGGTCTCGTGATCGACGAAGGTATTTCTATAAAATGAGATTAACAACTTATCAATCCTTTTTGTAAAAGTCGTGGCAGCAAAAGAACCAGCGGATTTGACATGGCTCCTCCAGGTGCCGCTGTCGTTACAGGAACTACACCAGGTTTGCAAGCAACCTTTAATTAGGCTAGCTAAGTAGGCTTGGATGCGTTGTTCATATAGAGTATCTCGCATTTCGTGTTCTTTTCCCTATGCATGATGCCGACGTGGGCAATTAGTTCAACTCTCGTTCATATTCTTAGCCTTGACCTTCTATTAATGTTTTCTTTCTTTTGACGCTCTGGTCTGGTGGTGAAGTGTTGTCTTTGTATTTGTAGGTCAACTTCCAGGGATTACTCAACCTGTTCCCGGGGTGTTTTCCATGTTTCCTTTCGCGGGCACTCAGGCAAGGCTTCTTTTTGTGGTTCAATTTTGCCGTCTGACAAAACTATCTCCTGCAGTTTGCGGGACTTCCGACGATGCCGGCACAAGCAATGACTCAGCAGGTTTGCCTTATCTTGAAGTTGTAACGAATGTGCTAAAATATTTTTTTCTCAGGCGACTAGGCATGCACGCCGTGTGTATGTCGGTGGATTACCTCCCCTGGCAAATGAGCAGGTGATTTTTTCAGTTAGGGGGATTGATATATATTCAAATATGCTTTTTAATTTCGGACAGACTATCGCGACATTTTTTAGCCAAGTGATGTCTGCTATTGGAGGAAATACGGCTGGCCCTGGTATCAGAATTCTGTCTTTGCGGGCACATTGTGATGTGGAAGTTTTGGATGCAGGTGACGCTGTTGTGAATGTGTACATTAACCAAGAGAAGAAATTTGCTTTTGTCGAAATGCGAACTGTTGAAGAAGCCAGCAATGCAATGGCTTTAGATGGTATCATTTTTGAGGTAAATTTGTTTTTTTGTTTTTTTTTGCTGGTAATCTTATTTTTATTCTGTGATTTCCATAGGGGGTCTCGGTCCGTGTAAGAAGACCAAGTGATTACAACCCTTCGATGGCGGCGACACTTGGTCCCAGTCAACCGAGTCCTCACCTTAACCTTGCAGCAGTCGGACTTACTCCTGGGTATGTTTACTTTTTCTATTTAGGATCTTTTTCTAAGAAACTATCTTGATATTCACCAGTGCCGCCGGCGGAGCTGATGGCCCTGATCGCATCTTTGTCGGCGGACTTCCTTATTACTTGACAGAGGGTCAGATAAAGGAGTTGCTCGAGTCGTTTGGGTAAGTAACCCGTGGATCTTTATCCTATATTTTCTCTAATTGCTCTGGCTGTTGCAGGCCGCTTCGGGGTTTCGACCTTGTAAAGGATCGCGATACAGGCAACTCGAAGGGATACGGCTTTTGCGTTTACCAGGTACTATAGTGTATAAACTAGCTCTTATGTGGCAAGCCAAAATTCAGGATCCTGCTGTTACGGATGTAGCCTGCGCTGCTTTAAACGGGCTGAAAATGGGCGACAAAACGTTGACGGTTCGTCGAGCTACTGCTAGGTGGGATCTACTGTCTGAAATAAGATTTTTTCTAAGCACTTTTAAACAAACGGCATCGTCTAATCCTCTCCTAACCTTTTCCGTAGTGTCCACAGTGGCCAGCCCAAGCCAGACCAAGCTAACGTCCTGGCTCAGGCGCAACAACAGATTGCTCTTCAGGTGGATCACTCTATCCCTCGTCTTTTTGCAGTAACTTTTTTTAATGCCGTGTCTTTCGTGGCAGAAGCTTGCCTTGCAAGGTGCGCCTTACTACAACATGATGATGCCAGGCGTGGATAACGGCATGACGATGCCCGAGACCCCTACCAAAGTTGTGTGCTTGAAACAGGTGAATCGCTGCTTTGGCGTAGAATTTGCGTCTTGAACTCCTCCGTCTTTGCAGGTTGTTTCTCCAGACGAGCTCAAGGAGGATGATGAGTACGAGGAGATCCTCGAGGACATGCGAGAGGAATGTGGAAAATATGGTACGTTCAAGACGAGCTGATGTATATGTGTTACCGGCATTGGTTCCAGGTAGCGTGGCCACTTTGGTATTACCTCGGCCTAAATCAGACGGCGAGGAGGTCGCAGGAGTTGGGAAGGTACGCAGCTGGCTCGCGTCTAGGGAAAGCTAAGAAGAGCTTGTGCTGTAGGTATTCGTGGAGTACGCTACGATCGAAGAGGCAATCAAGGCCAAGAACTCGCTGAACGGGCGCAAATTCGGCGGCAACATCGTTGCCGCGGTGTACTTCCCGGAGGACAAGTTCCTCCAGGGGGAGTATAACGTCGAACCGGCGAGCAGCTAAGGGAACGAACACCGCCCCGCTCGCTAGGTACCAAAAGCCTCTCTCTCGTTGCCACTTTGTAACATCAAAAGCAGGACAAAGAATCGCAATCGCAACGCCGGCGACGACGACGCGACGAAGAAGCACGTTATAAGAAAGTAGTGTGTGAGGAGGAAGTGACGAAATACCTCTCGCAAAAAAGCCCAGAAGCCGAGTGCTGGGGACATTGATTCTCTGCGAGGATTGCATTTTGTTGGTAGTATGAACTAATAATGTTTGGGTGGATTCGAAAAAAGGCTTGAAATGTGGGAAACTGTTCGTTTCATCTTCTCTTTTTTGGTGTTTTCTTTTTCCTTTGTGCGTGTGTGTGTAGTGTGTTGTGTGTGTATATATGAAGGGTGTGGAGCTCTCATGATCCCTGCTGGGAGCGTGTGGAGATTCGCCACCACCTAAAACACTCGGTGGTTTTGCCTAAAAACCGAGTCATGTGAGTTGTGCTGGCATTGTGGAGCTTGGAAATTTTTTGGAGTGTTTTGGCCATCTGGAATGCGGAGGAGCACTGAAACTGCTGCTGCCTGCGTGTTGATGCCCCGGTGGTTGCAGTTGATTCACGCTTTGTGGATGTTGGGATTCTGTGAAACGCTTTGGTTCTTCGCTTTTCTGATCTTCGGTTTCTCTTTGTTTTTCCTTTTTTCTTTCTTTCCTTGCTGCTGCTGCCGCTGCTTCTTTCTTCGACTTTGATTTTCTAGCTCTTGTTCCTTCTTGTTTTCTCTTGTGGCGACAACGGAACTAAACACAAACCGGAATTTCCTCCTCCAGAACAGCGATCACCGGCCGGATTGTCGAACTCTGCGCGCTCGGAGATGGCGGTTAGCATGCAGATCTTGCTGGGGATCTTAGGTACGTTGAAAGTACAAGGAAAAATAAAACCAAACAAGTTTCGAATGGAACTCGAAGAGATTTTGATTCTGTTGATGGTGGTGTAGGAAACATCACTGCGGTCGCACTCTTCATCTCGCCAGCGTAAGATCACGAGAAAAAACAAACAAATCTTTCCATCTACCAAAGTTTTATCATGTGGATCGATCTAAACCTTCGTACAGGCCGACCTTCTGGAGGATCTTGCGGATGAAATCGACGCAGGACTACTCGGGCCTGCCGTATGTGTGCACGCTCTTCAACTGCATGCTGTGGGTCTTCTACGGCATGCCTTTCGTCAAAACAAACGGGATGCTTATCATCACCATCAACGCCGCCGGATGCGCCATCGAGACGGTCTACCTCCTCATCTATCTCATCTACGCTCCGAAGCTCGCCAAGGTACGCATACTCACCGATCGAGATCGCAAGTTTGCTCTTCATGGAAAACTTTGGAAGTTTGGAAACTTTGATAGACTTTGGATCATACAGATGAAGGTGTTGCGGATGCTTGGGGCCGTGCTGGCTGCGTTTGCCATGGTCGTGGCGCTCACGATGCTCCTGGCGCACACCCATGACGCCCGGACTACGATCGTCGGCTCGGTTTGCGTGGTGGTGGCGGTTGCCATGTATGTCTCGCCATTAAGCGTCATGGTGGGTGATTAGCGGAACAGATTTGCAGCTGATTTCTCGTGTTTGTGACAGAAACTTGTCATCCAAACACGGAGCGTCGAGTACATGCCGTTTCTGCTCTCGCTGTTCGTGCTGATCAACAGCCTCGTGTGGATGTTGTATGCAGTGGCCACCAAAGATATATTCATCGGGGTAAGAACTTCCATGCCATATACATCTCTTCCAGCACCTGAATGCTTTCTAGATTCCAAATGGCTTGGGAGTTTTGGCGGGCGTGGCTCAGCTGCTGCTCTACCTCGTGTATCGAAATGCCAAGCCAGAAGCGGGGAGATCCCCCGATGAGATCGAAGATGGCGTGGGAATGAAACCTCTGGAAAGCCACCACAACAACAATGCTAATAACGTTAGCAAGTAGTGAATCTGCAAATCTAGTCGTAGTCCGAAGAAAAAGAAAGAATTGCGCAAGCTTAAAAAAGGGTGGTTTTTTAGCCCCAGTGGGTTTCGAGCCCACGACTTTTGAGCTAAGTTCAAATGTGCTTCCACTACACTATGGGGCCAGAGTTGGAAAATAAGCCGCATTATTTCCATAATATACACATATAAACTTGACCAGCCCAAGTCAATGAAAAGTTGGTGGACTTTGGAAGCTTATGCATGTGGTACGGACATGGCACCCATGTGTCACCCTGACTAGAATTTGCACTTGGCTGCCGTACCCCAATTCCATATCAAAGTATTTTTCCACTTCTTGACAGAGCCGTGGCACTTTCCTTTCCCCACACATCCATTCAAGAGCCAAGAAAGAGGAGCTAGTGTCCTTGTTACAAACAATTGATATATGGCCAGCCACCCAGACACTGATGTTATATCCCCCACGTGGAATGTGCAAGTTTGCTCTTTAAACAGAGAAAAGGACTTTGCCCTACCACCTTTCCTGTTTCATGCATGGCAAGCCAAGCTTCTTAATTGCATGCATGGGCAAAGGAAGGGCTCTTCTTTTCAAGGTAGAAAGTTGGCCTAGTTGAGTACGTGCGTTTCTCGTGATCTTAATTTAAATAGCGATTGAAGGAACAAAGTGGAGGGAGTGGTTTTCTAATCTCAAAACTTAAAGGTTGGAGAATGAATGATAATCGCCACTGCATTGACTTTAAAACTGGATCATTTCTTCAAGTGACAAGAGCTCAGTCGTTTTGTAACGGTGGTTTTTTTTTCTGTTATCTGCCTCTTTTTTTCGTACCTAAAGGCATGTTCGCTCTTCCGGAGGTTTCGAGACGGCCGGATATTCCCCGAAGACTTGTGGCGACGGCAATTTCTTCGGCGAGCGCGTTGGATCTGCAAGGTAACAGAAACACTCCCATTTTTCCCTGTTTGACTCGAGAGATTTCATTGCCTACCTCGTTCGTGGGTCCAAAAGAATTGGGGGATTTCTCCTCTCGGAGCTGAGAGGCCAGTGAGCGAGCAGCGGGAGATGGGAATGGAGCGCCAGCAATCGAGCGAAGACGCGGTTGGCAAGAAGAAGAAGAAGGACGTCAAGGATCCGGCTGGCCCCAAAGCGCTGCACAAGACGAAGCTCGTCAAAGCCACAGGTAACAACAATGCCGATCAAGTAAGTCACCTGGAGAAGAAAGAAGAAAATGCCAATCCAGCTGAGAACAAGCGGACCGATTCTTCTGGTGCTCCAAAATCTCAGGACCCAGCAGCTCAAGGAGCCGAGACTCTGCTGCAAGACATAGAGACTCCTGTTCATCAGAAAAAAATATCACGGCAGCAAATGGAAAAGTTACCGACAAAGCAGCCTCCGACAAAAACGAAGACTCCTCCTCCTGAGCAGCTGCAGAAGGTTGTCTCTCCGGTGGAACTGGAGTCCCAGATTCCAAGTCCGACTCCAAAGCCTCCGGGGAGCCCAGGGAGAGCACTCTACTTGCTCAAGCTGGCCAAATCGAGCCATATATCCGGTGACAAGCCGTCGAAAACTCTCGACTACGCTTCCCGAGCTGCCAAGATGTTGGAGGCCAACTCTTCGGATGGAAAGCCGAGCTTGGAGCTGGTGATGAGCTTGCACATTGTAGCAGCAGCGCAGTGCAGGATGGGTAAACACTGGGAGGCAGTCGAAGCTCTGGAGAAGACTTTGCAAAGCCTTCCAATGGAGTGGATAGCCGAAGCAGGGGGGGAGTACTCGCTGGCAGCGTTCGCGGGATATATGCAGCTGGGAGACACTTATACGAAGTTAGGCAAGCAAGTTCAAGCGCTCGAAAGCTACCGAAATGCTCTCACCGTTCAGAAGAAGGCGGTTGGAGAAATGGACCCTCAAGTTGGGGAGACATGTCGGTATCTTGCTGAAGCATACCTGCAGGTAAATCAGGAATTTGCACAAAGAAAACTCGGTACTTACTTACTGTGTGAGATAAACAGGCGATGCAGTTCGAGGATGCCGAAGAACTGTGCCAGCAAATGCTGAAAATCCACGCAGAAAAGAGTCCTGCCGGCTCGATGGAAGAAGCAGTAGACAGGAGGTTGATGGCTCTCATCCAAAGTGGCAAAGGCGAGCACGAAGCAGCACTGGAGCATTTGGTGTATGCAAGCACGGCAATGAGCTCTCGAGGACAGAGTGCCGCTGTCGCTTCCATAGACGCCAGCATCGGCGATTGCTACGTTGCCTTGGGCCGATTCGACGAGGCCGTCTTCTCGTACCAAAAAGCTCTAGCGGCATTCAAGCAACTCAACGGAGCGAACCATGCTTCCGTCGCTTCAATGTACGTAAGCCTGGGGGACCTCTATCTGAAAACCGGGAAGATGAGAGACGCGAAGGTGTACTGCGAAAACGCACTCATGATATACGGGAAACAGGGACATCCGGCAGATGAACTAGCAGCTGGTTTGACGGACGTTGCGGCAATTTACGAAGCTTTGAGCGAGAGGGAACAGGCTATGTGCTTGCTGAGAAAGGCGCTGGAAAGCATTAAAAACATACCGGGAGAGCCTCGGTCGGCAGCGGGGATTGAAGCACAGATGGGAGTTTTGTACTACATTATGGGCAACTTCTCGGAGTCTCACTCGGCTTTCAGCAGCGCAGTGGACAAGCTCCGATCTGCAGGTGAAACCAACACGTTAATGCTGGGAGTTTTGCTCAACCAGATGGGACTTGCCTTGTTTGAGCTGGAGCAAATTCACGAGGCAGTAGCAGTGCTGGAGGAGGCACAGCATGTACTTGCGGAAGCTTGTGGAGTCTACCATCCAGACACCATTGCAGTTTGCAGCAATCTTGCCGGTGGATACGACGCTCTTGGAAGGTTGAATTCCTGTCAGATTTATCACCACCAACTTGAACTTGACTGACCTCTCTTTTCTTTTTCTGTTTTCTTCCAGAGTCGAAGATGCTATTGACTTGCTCCAAGTGGTGCTTCGCTCCCAAGAAGAAAGGCTCGGTACCGTTCATCCCGACGTAGTGGACGAGAGACTCAGGCTCGAGCAAATGCTCCGAGAGACTGGGAAGCCTTTGGTACGCAAAACGAGCACCCTGGAAGAGCTGTTGATGCGGCCGACTGCACAAAGTAAAAGATATTATCGTAGCTTAGCAGTGTAAGAAAACCAATTACATACAAGTGGTCTTTGTTACGAGAGGAAACGACTGTGTTGCAATCTGTCTGTAAGATCGGGTAGAACAAACTGGATTAGAACAAATCGGTAGACCCCGTGACAATGAAAAGAACCAAATCGGGCGCTCTGTTTATTCAACAAGCTCGTAGCTAGGTAGCAACATAGTCGTTGGTGACTTCTCTAGAAACCCCTGGACAAGATAGCCTGGAACTATCAGACCAGCAAGCTTCCAAAATGCAAGAGAACGAAATGAAAGAGAAAGAAAAAGAAAAAGAAAAAGAAAGGAATACCTCGATGGTAGCAGTGGTGATGTCTGTAAAGGTCGCTCAAGCACTCTTGAAGCTGGTCACAACCGGGATGACCACAACCATGAGCACCACCAGCAGCAGGATGATCGCAATGAGCGTGCACTTCCGGGAGCTCCTCTGGTGCTGCTTGGCGTAGTGGAGCTGCGAGTTCCCCTTGTCCACGTAGTTGGCAGCCATGCTCATATGCCTCTCAATATCGTTGAGTTGCTCCCCCTGAGCTTCCACCAGCACAGCCATGTCGAGAAAGATCTGGTGGAGCTCCAGCAAGTTCTTCTCGATCTCCTTGACAGCATCGTGCCTCTCCTGGATCTCCCGAATGGTTTCCAGCACCTGGCCGCGACCCTGATCCTGGATCGCCCTCTGGACGAACACCTCACTTTCCCCGGTCTCGATGATCTTCTCGATCGTCTCCTCGTCGGCCTGGTGCCCAGTCACTGTGAAGTACCTCCTCTCCACGGTCTCGCGGTACTCACCCATCATTTTCTGGCGGAGAGCTTGAAAATCGCCCATGAGATCCTTGAGCTTCATCCTCATGCTCATGGTGATGGACATCCTTGTGCGATCTGCCGGGGTGCCTTGCTCGCAGCCAGGGATCTTCCTGTTGACAATGTTGGCCTTGTCCAGCTCCTCGAGCCGGTCCTTGATGGATTTCGCCAGCCGCAGCACCTCCAACACGTCCTTGTCCATCCTGTCCCGGATCGCCTTCATCGCCAGCGCCTTGTAGATTCCTCGGCTCTCCTCGTTCGCGTCCTGGAGCTTGGACAGGAGCTGCTGGATCTTCTCCATCCCGATGTTGATCTGCTCGACCTCGTCGAAAAAATGCTCCAGGTTCTTCTCCGTCTCCAGCGACCCTAGCTCCATCTCTGGCCCTACCTCCAGATCCCTCAGCACATCGCGCTTGAGATCCAGGTAGCTCTGGCTGGATCTGAGGCTAGACCTCAGCAGATCGTTCATCTTGGGGAGAGATCGCCGAAATCTTGCTCACCTCTTGACGCGCCGCCCTCACTTCCGCGAGCCCTAGCTTTTGAAAGCGGGAAAACTTTAAACCGTTCGAACTTACAACGGAAACCAGCCACGTCAGTGCTTTTGAACTGTCGGATTCTGAGATACACATTTCTAATTAAACAGAAAAAGAAAATTAGAAGTTTTAGTTTTAATAAAAATTAAATGATCTTATTACCTATTTAAAAGATAACATAAAAAATATTTTGTTTATAATGTAAAATAATTTTTTAAATTATGAAAAGATATAAATTTAAATTATCTAGTGCCTTAAAGCCACTCACTTGCTAAGGATAACTAATTGCCACAAGTCAGTTATCCTTATAATAACTATTCTAACACCTCTAACTTTAAATTTAGAAACACTAAAAGATGTTTGTTATTCTAAGGCACTAAATAGAGCATTAAAGTTGTGCAAAAATAGTAATTCAACTTAATACGAGAAATTTTTAGCATAACCTTTTTTAGTTTTATTTCTTCATTTTCGTTTAAATCTAGATTTATATTAGATTTTTGTAAGATCTAAAATTTTAACTATTGTTGTGCTTAGATCTACTCTTTCTTTTTATCTTCATTACATTTCTTCTTCTATTATGTCATACCATTATTAATAACAGAGTATGTCACTTGAGGTTATTAATGCTTCGTTTGTATTAAACTTTTGGTGCTATGGGGTGTGCTTATATTGGTGTTGCTCCTATCTTTAATGTGTTGCTTTACCGTTGTTATTAAGGAGTATATATATTCCCTTGAAAGTGTGGATGTTGTAATTAATTTTCCCTCTAAGTGAATATGGGTATTGAATGTTGATTAAAGGGAAAATGCAGAAATAGGTTTTATTTATAGTCATGAATTCAAGTTAATAGTGGTCTCAGAGGATTATTGATATATAAATTTAAATGTAGGATGTATTGTTTATTGCAATAACATTTTATGGGTTATAATGGATTTTAAAGTTCCTTGTTTTAGTTCAAAATTATGGCTTCAAGGTTGGTTTTAGCATTTGGTAGCTACACACAAAGTTACAACTAGTGCATCAAAATTTTATAATCGACTAATGTTTATGCCATGGCTTTGAATTTTGTTTTAGTCATGGGTGTTAACAACTTTATTGATGGTTTTGTAGGAGCTTTAGATTCTTGTGATACTTTATAATCACTCAACAGAAGCTCTAAATATTATATTTAACTTATTGTCATCTTCTAGAGGAGAGGATAGTATAAGGTTTGTAAAAAATAAATAAATAAATAAATAAATATATATATATATATATATATATATATAAAATCTATTACCTTGGCTAGTAATACATTAATTATAGTAATGTAGTATATGGACTATTCATTTGGGGTCCATCTATTCTTGTATATAAGCATGGGTCTAAACCTTAATTAATATATCAATTCTTATATGTCGAGTAATGTGAATAAACACAATAATCATATTTTATATCTATATATTATAAAATTATTTATATATAATCAGCTATCAGAATCTAATAAAGCTATAAGAAAAATAATGATATTAAAATAATTTTATATTTAATTATATTAAATAAAATTATTTTAAATTCTAAAATAATAAGATATTAACAAAGTTATATACTTTATGTGAGTAACAGAATAATAATTTGTCACATTTTAAATGAAAACATTTATTTATATTAATTTTAAAATTCATTATATATATATATATATATATATATATACAATCAAATTTAGTAATTATTAGGTACTTTCAAAAATTATATTTACCTTATAAGTTTGTTTTTTAATGCTGACTCAATTATAGCAATTTTGTATAAAATAAAATGAAATTAATACAAAATATTCTTAATTATTTATAATACCGTGAGTGCTTGGAATATGGAAAGGGAATACAGAAATGTGCATATCAATTAACCCAAAAACCCTAGCTTATATACAGGAGCAAATAGTTCAGATTGAAACCAATCTGACGGCTACCAAAATCCCACTACGCTAATATTAGTATACGACATCGTAGCCGTACACTTGGCCCTTATATCATCCCCCCCTCTCGGAATAATGGAAGACCATCAGGGTTCTCTTGTAAACGGGCCGGGATCTAGAGGAACGTCAGGAGGAGGCATTGGCGGATCTGTAGGTGGTATTAATTACTCTTGATCCCTTTGTATGAAGTGTTTCAACCACTACACATGCACAATCTCTGGAAGATCGGCCTGCTGAACATTATGCCGAACCTCATAAACTTATGGTCCAACTTGCCACAACACTTGATATGGTCCTTTCCACTGTGCAAGGAGCCCCTTAGATAAACCACGTACCGTAAGATGGGGAAAACGGACTAACACCAAATCATCCACTTTGTACTCCGCAGGTGCACGATGATGGGAGTTTAACCGCCATTGTTGTCCCACTTGTACGCAGCCTAAGTGTTCGGTAGACTCCGCTCAAACAAGTGGAAGAATGCTCGTCAAATACTAATTCCATGACCTAGCATTTGCAGCTTGTGGCAATCAAGAAGGGAAACCTAGCTCCGTTGGTAATATTGGATCATGACCATATAAGAGTTTATATGGTGAAGCACCAACAGAACTCTGCACCCCTGTGACATATGCATACCGAAGAGATAACAAATAACCATCCCAATCCGAATGCTGAAAGTTCACATACTTTGCAATCATCCCCTTGAATGTCCGAACAAGTCGTTCCACCAGACTGTCTGATTGTGGATGATAAGCACTTGTGAAAGTGTGGCGTATCCCCAACTGAGACGTCAAAACATGAAATGCCTCAACCATAAATGTAGGACCATTATCCGAAAGAATCCGCTCTGGACAAGAATGCTGGAACACCACTCAATTGAGGAGGAAGTATCCAACAACAGTTGCAAAGGCACTAGCAATAGCACCAACTTCCACCCAACGAGTCAAGTAGTCAGAAGAAATAATAACATACTCATTGCCAGCAGTTGACCGTGGAAAAGTTCCCATAAGATCAAATGCCACCAACTCAAACGGACGGGAAACTACAATTGACTCTAACCGTCCTTTTACAGCCCGAGGGGGAGTATTATGAGCTTGGCACCAAACACAGCTACGCACATACCGGATAATATCACGTCGCATCTCCGGCCAATAGAAAGACCTGCACAAGTTCTCAGTTACACGACGATGTCCCATATGCTCACCTAGAACATGAGAATCATGGTAAACATGGAGAAACCGCGGAATAAAGATAGAAGGCACCACCAGTCGTAAATGATCATCAGGATCCATCCCCACAAAATAAAGAAGTCCGTCGTCAAAGCGATATTGAGAATGTAAATGCCGGAAAGGCAAGTCATCAGCAAGTGATGCAGGATTCTCAAACCCATCTCAAAGCCTGCGAATCCACCGCTCAATCTTTTGAGCCTCGCGAACCTCATCAAGAGAAGGTAGATCTTGCTCTGCACTTTGTGAACACTGAACGTCAAGTATAGCAACCGCTGATGGCACAGAATCCTCATTTAGAAAATCCACAGAGGCTGGAACAACAGGCTCATCAGAAACATGAGAAGAGAATGGAGAAGGAAGAGGAGCTCGAAAAAGGGCATCAGCATCATCCATAGAATTCTTTGGGCGATGAACAACATCAAAATTATATATCTGAAGCTTCAAAGCCCATCGAGCAGTACGACCAACCAGGTTCTTCCGCTTCAATAATGAAGTCACAGCAGCATGATCACCTTCAAGTAACGTCCAAGAACCATGTAGATATGCATGAAGTTTCTCGAAACCCTAAACTGCTGCTAAACACTCTTTCTCTGTTGTGGAGTAGTTCATTTCCGCTGGTTGTAATGTACGACTTATATACACAATAGGATGGTGCTGACCAAGCACACTCAATCTCTCTTGCATTAACACACCTCCAAGACCAATGTCAGAAGCATCCATGCGCAAAGTAAAAGGTCGAGTGTAGTCAGGATATGCCAAAACTGGAGGAGTCGTCAATAGTTCTTTGAGATCCCCAAACACTCGCTCACAATCCGGAGACCAAATAAAAGATAATATTGATGACTTCAACAACGCTCGCAACGGTGCAGTGCGATCAGAAAGATGATCCACAAAACGACCAAGATACTACATCTTGCCCAAGAAGCGTTGCACATCATTCACACACTTCGGAGTAGGGAACTTTAGAACAGCCACAAGTTTGTCAAGATCAACTTGCAAACCCTCACGAGAAATACGGTACCCAAGATAAATTGTATCCTTGGACCCAAACACGCACTTCGACCATTTCAGCTTTAAACCAACATCGCGTAGCCAATCAAACACTTTACAAACATCACGAACATGCTCCTCCCACGTCCCTTCCGAGTGAATCAAGATATCATCGATGAAGTCAGCAGTCACCTCTAGCATATCACAAAGAACCTCGTCCATCATCCGCTGGAAAGTTGCTGGAGCATTGTTCAAACCAAACGGCATCACCAAGAACTCGTACAAACCAAACAATGTACGAAAAGTAGTCTTAGGAATATCTTCTTCGGCTATCGGTACTTGTCAGTACCCAGAAGCAAGATCTAGCTTGGTGAACTAATAACTTCGCCCTAGACAATCTAAGAGATCAGCAGTGTGAGGAAAAGGGTACACATCCGGGATCGTCACTTCATTTAATGGACAATAGTCGATGCAGAAACGAATACTCCCATCAGGCTTTGTCATAAGATGAGGTTCACATGCCCAAGGACTCCGCGACTTCCGAATAACACCCTTATCCAACATCTCTTTTGACGTTTGCATGTAAAATCTTGATCTCCTTGGGTGACCGACGACGAACAGGAACCTTGATTGGACGAGCATCCCTGGTTGGAATCGGATGACGTGTGGTAATCTTGGCCCCAGACGATAGGTCAAATTCAAAGAGATCAGAATACTCCTTCATGATCCGGTCAACAGCTGCAACACAAAGATCATCGGAGGGATCGGAAAAAGGAAGAGCAGAACAAGATGGAAATATAGTGTAAGCTCTTGAGTTTGGACTTCCCGGGAGGTCACCCAGCCC